TTTCGACTATAAATTTGATTATCTTCTATTATCAGGACCAGTATAATAAGTCCTGATAATAGAAGATAGTCTAATTTATAGTTGATGTCTATTTGTTGAGAATAGTCCCCAGTTGTCAAAAAGAATGGCTTTTCCTAATTCAAGGAAAATCGAGGGCGGAGGGACTTACAGTTAGAATAAATTTAAAGTGGAATTTGGTGATGGCAAATTCACCTTCTTCCTCGTCAGGTTCCCGACATCAGTTAATCATACTTAGATACGCGGATTAACACACGTTTGGAGATAATATGGATATGATTCAGATAATAAATAAGAGACATTTCCTTAACATATAATAAAAGATTTAATAAAATAAAAGTAAATAAAATTACACAAATGGAATTATTCAAAAATAAAATAAAGCGAATGAGAGACAATGGATTAATTAAATATACGCTTCGAGAGAGAGAGAGCTCACAAATTCATTTATAATCACACTACTTCCAAGTTTACTTTGTCTTTATGTTCATCTGTATTCGATGATCCTACTTCATTTCATGGAGAGGTCTTGATTTGGCACAATATTATAAGTTTCTTTTTTTTCTCCTAAATTAACTCATTATTATACTCAATTGGATACGACTAAGGACGTTGGCCTTATGGAGCAAATATGGACTACGTCGGTCTTCTCTGAGATCCTTTCGTATTCCTAACTAAGGGCATTGGCCTTAGGGAGCAAATATGGGATACCTCCTTTCCCTATGAGATCTTTCGACGTACTCCTCGAATCATGCAGGTCTTTGACTATATCTCATGATTTATGACCAGTCAGCTTATTTGTCTTTACTCATGTGAACGGATGAAAAGGGGAATTATTGAGGGGTCGATAATTCTCAGTGTGGTGAGATTTGTGAATAATAAGTGGAAAACAAAAGGATGTGTCTCCTTCTGTTAAAGGAAATGGCTCTTTTTATCAGTTTCCCACGTTAGAAAAACGATATTTTCACACCAAAATGAAATAATATTTTACTTTATAATTTTAACGTTATATTTAAATTGTTATTTAGACCCAGGGGTAATTCAGATCTCACACTACCTTTTTAGGTTTCGAATGTAATGAATAATGTAGCTAAGCTCAAAGCCCAAAAATGTTCATTAATATTTTAGTTATCACAGGACGTGGTTGTGTGCTCTGTAGATTTGATGGTGCATTAGAATTGATAGAATACAGTAATATAGTTTTAATTTTTCATGAAATAAAATGAAATTTGAGACAAACATTGCTTTAAAAGTTTAAGAAAAATGCACATAAACTGTATATGCTCTGACCTAATTATTATTTTTAAGAGATTATTAGGATTTTTTACACAGCATACATATGTATATATAACGTATGAAGAATGATTAAACTGAAATGTTATGCCAAGTATATAAAGAAAAATATGACAAAAATTCAGAAGTTCAAATATTCAAATGTTTTAAACTTCTGTAACCTTTTAAATAAGCCTAAAAATTTTGATTTCTGTAATTTATTTTCTTGAGTCTAGCAGTTGAATGTTATTTTTTCTTGTTAGAAGAATTATATCAAAATTATGTAAAATATAAATATTTTTGAATGAAATATTTCTTTAATGTTAGTGAACATAATGAACATCAGTTAATGAACATAATCCATTCCAAGACCTTGTTCGCTATCTGAATTGTTCATTAACTAATTATTGATTTACCATAGATTTTTGTGGGAATTTGATTAATTTGTTTTGGAGATCCCAAAAAATAAATAAAAAAATTATATAGCCTACTATCTTACTATGTTTATTCAAACATAATAACAAACTAAAAGCAATCTATTCAGTTTTTACATCTCTGTTTCTCAGAAGAGATTTTCATTACTCCTTTATCTGCTTGGTCTTTTTGATTATATCTTTCTTAGCTAAGATTGTATCTACTGTAGACCTGTTGAAGTCATCTGCTTACAGTATCAGACATCTGCCCACTCTACCTTGGCTATTATCTCTTGCTTAGTTTTTATATTGAACACAGTTTTTTGACACGCCACTCTTTTTAGGCCCCATAATATTATCAGTTTTTTAAGTAAAAAGTTCAGAAAAGCACTTACAAAAATTCAGAGAATAGAAATTAACTAGTGCAAAAAAGTCATGTATACAACCATGAAAGTCTCGTTTCATAAACCATTTGTAGATTCCAGTTCCAGTAAAATATAGTTTTACAAATCTTAGACTCAGCATCACTTCTTCTTGTGTTTATTCTGTCAGGTATTCATTGTCCGAACATAAAAATGTTTCACGGAAGTGTTCATTGTCCAAAATGTTTGTTGACCAATCACTCACTGTATAAAAAAAACACTACACAAAATTAAATAGCAAAAAATTATATTTAATTATTTAAGATTGATATTATGTTTAACTGTAAAATTGTTTTTTGTTAACATACTTGGTTACTATTTAACTATTTCATTTAAAAATATTTAAGTTAACTTTTTTATTTGGCATATCAATTTTGTTTAGCCATTTAATCAGTAATTTCATATGAAGATTTTTGCTGAGATTGTGTACTTAAATCTAATAACATATACAGAACCAATAACCGATCCAAAAAAATACTAATAAACAAACAACAAGCATTTTCTAACTCGTTCCAAGTTTTCATCAGGTTTTCCAACACTTATTACATGGATTGTCGATAAGTTTTCAGAATATAGCATTTAAACATGGATTTTAAGAGCTAGTACAAAATTCAAAACCCAAAAAGTTGCACATGCATATACTCATGTTTAATCGAGATTCAATGAAAAGGTTAAACCATCTTGTCAAGCAGAGCTTGCCAGGCCATCGACAAAACCATCTCCTCCCTGAAATATATGCATGATGAAGTGAAATTAATTTTAAATATCTCCATTGCCTCTAACCATTTATGAGGCAGCTTAACCTTTTCATTGAATCTCGATTAAACACAAATATACATGTGCATGACTTTCTAGGTTTTGAATTTTGTACTAGTTCTTCAAAATCATGTTCGACTATTATTCCAAAAGCTTAAATGTTCCACCTAACAACTGTTGGAAAACCTGTTGAAGAACTTGGAAGGAGTTAGAAAACGTTTGTGTGTTTATTTGTATTTTTTATTTTTATTTTTTTTCACATCAGTTATTGGTTTAGTGTATTTTATTTACTTTATCCCAGTGTAGTGTGTTGTTATGTACTTAAATTTTTTTTATTTATGAGATATTTCACAGTTAGGACAAATATGATTGGTTTAGTTTTTAACAGTGTTAATATTAGTTTTATTAGATTAAAAAATAAATTATTAGTTAAGAATTTCATTTTGGAAATTNACACGATGGCAACTTTTCTCCTCAAAAGAAGTTAAATACTACAAGTATTTAACTTGGTTTGAGGTCGAGGTCAAGTTAAATACTACAGAACTATCTTATCATGTCATCCTATCTCCTAAAATGAGGATAGTATTGACCAAGTGCAGTCTCTCATCGTTCCAATTATATGAAAGAAAGTCTGCCATGACAAACATTACATATTTTCTGCCTTAGTATTTTAATTAAATTTAGTTTAAATTTTTTGAGTTTTTATGGAAGTTGAGTTGATCTACAAGATCTCTTCTTTGAATAGTTTAACCACTTTGTTAGTTGCCCTGAATAAAAAACTTAAACTAAAATTAAACCTAAAATGCTTAATCACATTTATTGCAATATTGTTGAGACAAAGTTAAATGCTGCTTTTAGTATATGAAGCATAACAAACTAACAGTAGATAAAATTTCAAAGAGTATGAAAAAATGTTTTGAAGTGTACAAAAGTGTACACTTATTAAACATCAACAAATTTTAATTTGTTCTCATATATAATTATCTTACATAGAGATTAATGCATATAAGTACTTGGACAGTGGTTATTTTACAACAAATTAAACTATTTTTATTAGTTACAATTTAAAATCTGGTTGTCAGATACAATTTGTATCATCCAAAAATTAATATTTAAATTCAAAGTGATAAAATCAAACATCTGCAAAATTACTAAATGATAAAATATGAATATCTGAGAATCTGAAACAGTAGAAACAAGCATTCAAAATCAAACAGTTGTATATTTTATTTGGTTTTGAAATAAGATATATTATTAAGGACTATAATGATAGAAATCTGTAAAATTCAAAAAAGTAATAACTTTTTATTTGTAATCAGAAAGATAAAGTAGAACCACCATAATTTCTTAACAAAAAAAAAAGGAAGAAGTCTTTTGTTTAAACATTCGTTAATATAAATTTCAGCACTAATATTTCCTTTTGTTAACAAACTTTTCAATCCACATTGGCTAATTGCTTGCCATATCAAATATTTTGAGCCAAACTTATCAACATCAATTGATGATTGAGATTCTGAAAGAACTCCTTCAAATGCTATATAATAGCTTTGATCCTGGAAGGGTTAAGAATTTGGTCTTCATGTATATTTTGTCATCTAAAAACCAAAGAAGAATTTTTTTGCCAATTAACGAATACAATTTTCAAGCTCCAGTTTTAATTATCTTTTTTGTTTTTCAGTCACTTTAGATAGTTTTTGTTTATTATATGATCTCATACTTGCATGCTGCTTAGCCCTTTGAAACATTGTTTGATTTGTTTCACATTTTTTGCAACTTCTCTCACTGACATACTGCGATTTTTGGAAATGACTTTAATTATCTTAAGGTTGAGTTGCGAGCACCATATTTTCCACCAGAATCTGGCTTTCAAGAAATGGAAAATGTCTTATGATACTGATTTAACACTCCATACACCATACTTTGGGAAATTTGTAGTTCTTTTACTATGAAATGTCTTTGTTTTCCAGCCATTTGTCAACAATTGCTTTTCGATAATCTGTTTCATTCATTGTTTAAAGCAATTGCACAGTTACTTTAATAAAATTGATAATGGAATTTTTATTGTAATTATTTTTTAAAAAATTAATATAAATGTACTGAATATAACTACTAATAAATTTTTAACATTTATTTCAGATTAAAAATGATTGAAATTTTATCAAATTTTTTTCGTTCCGTAATTGTGCTAACACCCGAAGACCTCCTATACTCTGTTTATCTTTGTTTAAATAAAGTGGCTCCTGATTTTGAAGGCATAGAACTTGGTATTGGAGATATGGTATTGATGAAAGCAATTGCTCAAGCTACTGGAAGAACAGTAGATAAAATTAAAGCAGATATAACAGTTAGAGGTGATCTTGGGCTTGTGGCAGAAGTATGTATCTTGTATTAGTTTTTTTAATTATGTTTGTAATTATTTTGAGATATAATATGAATGCATCAAAGTATTGCATTATTTCATTCTTTTGTGTTATTTCTTCTTCAAGGATTTAAAAAATGTTCTTTATTCCAGGTGTCTTAGTGATGATTATACATTTTTTATAATGCATATAAATATACTCTGTTAGAATTCAGATTCAGAATTATTTTTATTGACATGCATTAAATAGAATACATGAAATTTTGATCAATGATTATCTAATATACACTGCTGGCCAAGCAAAATGCAACACCATGAAGGAAGCATCCATTGTTTCAAGATCTATAGTTCATCGTGGTGTTTCATTTTACTTGGCTAGCAGTGCATTTTATAGTATTATCAGATATATCAGAGGTTCTCATTTGAAATTGATGTAATTTATGTGTATTAGTGATGGGATAATACCAAAATTTCTCTTCTGATTCTGATTCTTTTGAATACTTTCTAAAGTTTATTTTAGGTTAAAAAAATTAACGATTTACATTATGAGCATGGTACATTCATTAATTAATAAATAAATATCAAGTTTAAAAATGGAAAATCCAGAATCAATCTTTTGAAAGAAGCCTGAAAATTCTCCATTTATATGTGATGTGCATCTTTTATTATGTACTACAGACTAAATTTGTGATCTTATTTCAGGTAAAGTTAATATTGCAACATCATCATCAAAGAAATTACAGGTAATTCCCATTTACTCAAAATTCTTAATCAGTGAAATGCAAGATAGCAAATGTTGAAAACGTTTTCTTACTCATCATAGGCATACACTAGGAAACAATTTATCATACAATAAATTTTTAATCTTTGTTTCAAATAAAATTACAAAAGTATATTTACAGTACATAGTTCATACAAAAAGTAGTTCATTGTCAATTAAAACATGCTTTTCCAGTGTAAAAAATGAATTATTTATTTATTAATTTTTATTAAGTAAGTGACAATAAGCAAAGTATTAAACCACAAATTCCCAAATACATAATTTGTTAGTTAAAAAATAAAACTGCATACCCACTGGATGTAAATCATTCCAAGAACTGTCTATGCCCTTCCCTTTCCTCTATATAAGTACTCTGCACGCATACATATATACTTAGAACAAACACGATGGCAACTTTTCTCCTCAAAAGAAGTTAAATACTACAAGTATTTAACTTGGTTTGAGGTCGAGGTCAAGTTAAATACTACAGAACTATCTTATCATGTCATCCTATCTCCTAAAATGAGGATAGTATTGACCAAGTGCAGTCTCTCATCGTTCCAATTATATGAAAGAAAGTCTGCCATGACAAACATTACATATTTTCTGCTTTGTCAACATGAAAGTTTTCAATAAACTAGCATATTACTTAATTGTTAATATTGTAATTTTAAAAATTTTTAATTTTCAACTAAAACAAATAAATAATTTTCTTATTAAATGTGAAAAATTAAGAAGAATTCATTTTAAGAATTGGAAATCATAAGATTTGCTTGATTCTGAATACTGGAAAATGCCCAATTTTTCTGATTTTAATTAATCATCTCATCACTAATTTGTATTGTTGAATTAGTCTGAATAAGAAATAAAATATAATATAATAATCTCAGTTTATTTTATTAAATTTTGATACAGAATTAGTACATATAAATTTAGTTTTTAAAAATGATTCTTCATTAAAGTTCACAATTATATGTATTAGCAGTGATTTAGAATATTTCTGAATCTGCAAAGAAGGAAAAATCATAGTAGGGAAATTTGAAGTAGAAAAATAATAATACAACAAAAGTCTCAAAAAATGTTAAAATAAAATTGAGTAGCCAATATACATTAATTGGGGAAGTTTGTTGAAATTTCCCAGTTAATGTCCATAAGCTTAGGAGATTCTGTGTTTTAAAGGTTAAATTGGAAATACCAGGTTAAAAATAAAGAAAATTAAGCATTTATTATTGTTATGAAAGAGAGGCATGTGTTATAGTAAGGCAACATTTGAGTGTAGAGCCTGGAGCATGTTTGAATAAAGTCATCAACCTAGCATGTTTCCAATGGTGTAGGATGGTATGAGTGATGCTTATTTTGTTTCTGATTAGTTTATTCATCTGTTACATTTCTACCTACTTACATGATTGCATGCATGCAAAGGAATGAGTTGGTCTTGGTTTTATCAAACCACTGTTTTGATTTTTATAATTATTGTAAAACCAAAAAAGCAAAGTCCGATTTTATTTCAAAACTGTTTAATGGATAAAATTTTGTTTCATCTTGAATTAAAACATAATATTCACTTGTTCCTCACACAAAATTTGCAAATTAATAAAACACTACCTTGATTAAATAGCTAAACTGAAGTTTTATCATCATTTTATAAACATACTTTTCCTATTTTTTCACAGATATATTTTGATATTAATATTTTTTATTTTATAATAAATTTTAGTATGTTATAAAAATATGGTTTTGTTTTCAAACATGAAAAAATAATGAAAAGTCAGTAAAAAACATGAAAAAGTTTGATGCATTTCTTAAATGATTTTTCAGAAAAAATTGCATAATTGTTGTCATTGTAATAGAAATATTTGTACATAATTTTTCCATCTTTACATTTAATTACATTTTTTTATTTTGAAATACAGGTAACCCCCATATAACACGGCACTTGTATAGCACGGATTCACTCTAACATGGTTCAAGAATTGGTAAAACCCTTGTACAATGTGAAATGTACAGTAATAAAAACTATTAAAAGCAAACTTTATCTAATTTGAAATTAGGGAAATCCCCGTACAACAGTTCAATAAACGTGATAAAGCTTCGAAAGATACCTCATTTGACATTTTTCATTCGAGTGCATACATACTATCAGATTTTCCTGCATAATTTTCGTGAACTATTAGTACAGTAGACCCTCCCTGTATAACGGGTTCATATAATACAGATTTGTATATAACGGCAAAAAAATTGCAATTATATTCGTATAAACATGCTAAAAGAGACTCGTATGATATGGTAAAATGTCATTGCCAACTCATGTTGCGACAAGATTGGTTGAATCTAGACCAATAGCGGATATTGCACAAACCGTTGAATTTAAACAAGCAGCAGACCTACTAAAAACCATTTATTATTTAACAGCCATAAAAATTATATTTATATTAATGATGTCTCCAATGTTCAGCAAATTTTTTGCAGAAAAATAATTTATCAGGAAACACGCCCACCGTTTGATGCACCACTCCATGAAGAAAACAAGCTTAAGCAATGGCGTCATCGAACAGTGCAGACTCTGTAAGTAATCCTACAATGTTTTGTTTATAGCATAGTTTATATGGATTATTCCCAAAAAATTATGTGTTTTGGAAATGTTGAGTGAAATTAGTCTTGAATCGATTAATTTTATGGAAGAAAACCTTTCAAACAGCTGTAGTGCGTAAACTGCACACGTGCCGGGCTGTGATTGGTTCATGTATTTAAGGACTCATACAACATGAATTTCATAAAACACAGAACATATCTACCATGTTATAGGGGGGGTCTACTGTATTTAAGTATGTAAATTTTCTTTTCCCACCTTTTGTCAATACACATGGTCCTTCTCAAAACTTGTTTCAATGTTGCTAGATCTCTACACTTCTGATTTTGGTGTTGCCAGATGTTTTTTCCTTATTCCATACTTGTTTTATTCTTCATAAGTGCTTAGCACCATATAAGGAAATTTATAAAAAGCTTTTAACTAAAAGCAAGCAATCTAAAATAACATATTTTTTGCAAAAGGTAAAGCATGGATCTGAAGATAATTCAGAAAAATGCTCAGAGGATAAGGATATCTTGCCAAAAAGAAAACACCCTTTGTTAATAGTGCTTAGTGATGATGAAGAAAACATTGTTTAATTTATATTAATATGTATCACTTAAAGAAAATTTTAANACTGTCTTACAACATAAACTATATAAGGGAATTGAAAATCATTGAATGTTATTGTGTTAGGACAATGTCCTAACTTGGCAATTGCAAGACATTCATTGTTTAGTGAATTTTATAACTTCAGAATATATGGTTCCAGTTTGCAAACAGTTTTTAATTTTTTAGGATGTCGTTGAGTCAGAAATAAAAATACAAGTATGCATATTTGTATTCGATTTATTATATTTAAATGGTAAATCTTTGGTAAAGATGAATTTAAGAGAACGTAGGGAACTTCTACATCAGTCTTTCAAAGAAATTGAATCAAAGTTTATGTTTGCTCTTGCGTCTGACATATCATCCACTGAAGACATTCAAGAATTTCTGGATACATCTGTGAAACGTAAGTTTTCTTCTGTTTTTAATTTTCATTTTTAAAATTAAAATTTGGATAATAATATATAGTGTTTTCCAAAAGAAACATGCCATAGGAAATTGTGCAGAGAAACTGTAGATAAAGCTTCAGGAAACAAGTGTATAGTATATTGGTTATATGATGCAACATTTCAGCTCTGCAATAATGTCAAACAGAAGTTATACTTGCACAAAATTTATGTGGTCACATGACAACACACAAATTTTGAGTCAGTTTCAATTATTATAGTCCAGCTACATAGTTCTGTAATTAACTGGTATGTTGTGAGGATTGAATTTGTTCTTCTTAATACATGATATGCAGATGATAACATGAACATGACATCTTACTGGGTTTTTTATAGTAGTATTTAGTTTTATTTAAATAAAACTGCATATCAAGTGTTAAAAAGAACCAAGTTTAAGCCTCACAGCATATAAGTTATAGAATTTACATATGCAGCTGGACCTACATTAGTTGAAAGGGATTTAATCATGCATATGAATTTTGTACAATTAATTTTATGTATTGCAGATATGAAATGATGCACCATGTAATCAATACACTATGCACTTGTTTCCTAATACTTTGTCTACAAACTCCATACATTCTCCTTTGGCATGTTTCTTTTGAAAAACACTGTATATTAAATACTTTTATTAATATAGTATGATTGCTGTTTATTCAATTTCTATGTATAATGTCCTTTTAATCCAAAGAATTTTTCTTGGTAGATGATCTTAAATGCTGTAAGAATGTCTACCACTAAAAATTCTTTGGATTAAAAGGATGTTATACATAGAAATTAAATATTTTTATTTTATAAAAAAAATGAATATGTTTCCTTACTGTTTTGAGTAAATTATTATGAAAAGAACAGCACAAACAAATACTAACTAACTTGGTACTAGAGGTAGACATTGGGTGCCATCTCTTATCTAAATCAATAATTATAATTTTAATAATTTATTTAAAAGTGTAGAATTATCTGGAATTAGCCTGGAGTGGGGCATGNAATTTGAGCCTCAAATCTTTGATTTGAAAGTCAAAAGTCGAAGTTCACTAATAAATTTGACTTTCAAATCAAAGATTTGAGGCTCAAATTGTTGGACCACTTATGGCACCAATGACTTTCTTATTGGAAGTAAATCTTATCATCTACAGGTCTTTTCTCAATGGTGCAAAATAATGATAATCTATGATGATGAGATCTTGTTATTTGCTAGATTTACTTCCAATTAGTTGGTCATTGATGCCATAGAGATCTGATTCATGGAACAACCTCAGGAGTTTATTTTGTGGGGGGTTACAGAAATTGAAGGAATGTTGTAGCAAGTGTGTACAGTTGATGACTATGTTGAATAAAAGTGATTTGGTTTACAGATTTGTCTTTTGTTTTCTAGGAAAAGTTGCAAACTTTTCCTAGAAAACAAAAGACAAATTGTATGTATATGGACAGATTGATAGCAAACCTCTTGTATGAATATGGATTAATTGATATTTGAATTTGGATGAAATAAATTAGTGTTCTTGCATTTTAGGTGAATCCTTTTATGATTTGATGTTTTCATATGCATTTATAAAAAAATTAATTGATTATTGAAATACTTAATTAAACACTCTAGTAGCCAATCATAATCCTGCACATTTCAGCAATTTTTACTTTCCTGGTTCTGTTATATATAACAAAGGGAAAGTATGGTAATCAGTCAAAAACAGTGTAATTCATAATAAATTTACATTAGGGTTGGACTGAATATGGATCTTTGACCAAGTACTGAATATATTTGTCAAAAAAATATCTTGATGTAGTCCATTTATTAATTTAAAAATAATTAATGACACTGATGCAACGAGACTAATTTTTCCACATCTGGCTCAAAATTATTAAGTGGCATCCATAAATTGCTCATTTGTAGTTGGGGTAAGACAACAAACTCATATTATTTTAAATAGTATGTTAAATTCTTTTAAACACTGCATGAAGAAGCAATTTAGAAATTTAGCAAACAAAGTAGTGTATTTTGTAAATGTACAGTATATTCAACAAAGCTAGAAGTATTTATGACAACCATACAAAGTTGCTTGCTTCCTATGAATGCAGAAGCATTGTTGTTCATTCATTATAATTTATCACTTCTAAATTGTGATTATTAATAAATAATGATTGCTCAAGGTCTTAATGAAAGCATCACACCTTGAATAAATCCAGCAATAAATTTTAATAGACCAAAAACATTTTCAAACTACTTATATAGATCTTCATTAGTTGGAACAACAAAAATTTAAATTTAAAAATAATGATGTCAAAGAAAGTTGGCAATGTTACAAACTTCAAACTTGCTATAGACATTCAATTTTGTATATGCTTAGCCTGATTCAGGTCCCTGAATGTGGCCAAGAAGATTAGTTTAGGAAATAGTTACTGCTGGAAAGTGTGAGGTGTAACTCACACTTTCCAGCTTTTAAATTTACTTTAAAAGTTACTTTTAAATTTTTCTATGTAAAAATTTAAAAGTACAGTACATAAAAATAAACATCATAGGACAAAGAAAAAGTTAAAGAGTTCCTATAATGATTTTCGTGCCATCAACAAAGGTGTTTTTGGTCTATTAAAATTTATTGCTGAGATATTCAAGGTGTGCTGCTTTCATTCAGACATTTATCCAGTTTCAATAATTTTTTTATTACTAAGATTATTTATTAAAGTCATATTTGTTTCAGAAAGGAATAAATGACACACTCACAACACACACATGCTATTTCTTTCACTCACTCTCCCTCTCCTTCCTCCTCTTCTAAAATGAGATTATTTGGTGAATAGTTTTGCTTTGGGAAAGTATTTGGTCCAAATATCAAATACAGGTCTTTAGTATTTGAATATTGAATAATGCCAAATATTTGGTCCAGCATCATTTTGTACAAAATTGGAAAATATAGTCAATGAAGTATTTGTCAAAAGAAACTTTAAAAGGAAAACTATTTATACTTAATTGCTGCCTGTAAGAAACAAACAAATTCATTGAATACATGTGTATTAACTTGTATTAACTATATACATAAATATATAACTTTTCTGTTTCTCCCTTGACAGACACACTATTCTCTCTCTTGTTTTATCTTGAGAATTTTTCAGAGTTTGTTTTATTACATTGTTTTCATTAGGATGAAAACATGCTAAATAAGTAATAGGCTTTCAAAATTTCTTTCATATATATATAATAGACTTTCTATAGCTTATTTAATAAAATTTTTTTGTCCAGATGATTATTACGTAGCCAGTGATCGATGAGAAGATATATTATTTTCTTCAAATGCTGATTGTTTTTAAATAATTAAAAACTGAAAGGATCCCACACAAACCTTGTAGAAAATATTGCTAAATCCACCTGGATTAGGATGAATCTTTCATATTTTTGTACTACTAGTTGTCTCCACAAGCATGAAGTCAAAAAATGAACTGTTTTTGAGTTATCAAACATTCAAGATGCAAAAACAGTGTAATTCACATACATGTTGTAAAGTCCTAAATCCTTTTTATTTTGAAATGTAAATGTCCTGTAGAGTTCCTTTTCAACCATGATCAAGTCTTGACGAGTGACTCTCTTGAAAGATGGGTGTCTGTATAGTGTCTGTGTACTGTATAGGGAAGTGCTCTATACAGACTCTACTAGTGCAGTATAACTAAATGGCAGGAGTATCAAATTTGCATGTATTGCATAATGACATAATGAATGATTTTTCCAAAAAGAAATCCAGGTAATATGTCAAACATCAATAATGTTTGAAAAAAAAAAGTTTATATTTTGAAACAAAAAAGGGTTTAGAGGTTTGCAACACATGCTGTTTTGGCATCTTGGATCTTGATAACTCAAAAACTGCCCATTTTTAACTCTGTGCCTATAGAGACTGTTGATTGGGACCACTAAAACTCAATGCAGCATTGACCAAATGGATGCACTCTGAATATAGTTTATAATGCACTATAAGCTGTATATGAGGCTTTTGTAGTGTTATGGCACTCTATATTATAGAGACTAGTGGCCTTCTGCCAAATCTGTCAGGACCCATTTCCTGTTAGGTTTGAGCAGGGTCCTTTCATCCTTTCACACAGATTTAAAAAAAGAAAAAGTATTTAATTTACCATATACCATAATTTAAAATTTTATTCCTCTTTGGATATAAGAAAATGATATATAACTTATGGGATATTGGTGAATTTTCTAATTTGTGTTTTTTTACTTCTGTAGAGAGTTGCGAAGGTTTGATGGTCAAAACTCTGGACGTTGATGCCAGTTACGAAATAGCCAAAAGATCTCATAATTGGTTAAAGGTATTAACGTTTAAAATTATTAATTAGATNAGTTTTAGCACTTCAAGATAAGTTGCAATAATATGTGACTAAAGACGAAGCATAAGAGCTAACAGAAAATAAAAGCTTTAGAGGAAAATTTTAACAATTGCAAGCTTCTTATGAAATAAAAAGATCTTATCAAATATGATCAATTAATGTTCAACACGTTAACAATAGTATGTAACAAATGAAATTATTACATTAGAAGTTTTAAAATACAAAATAACAATTTTAAGGAAGAATGGAAAATACACTGGTGGACAAATCTTAAGGACGAATGCCATTTTCAACAATTACAGTTACAAACTGAACCTCAACAGCCTGTTGAAATATGCTTGAAATCATGATGTACTCTGTTATGTAAATCTTATGCAAATGTTTGAGTTCTGCACATGTTGGTCATGTGACAGCACAGATAAGAGATTTCAGGCAATCTGCGTGTGTAGTCAGTTTTCGTTAGATGTGAAATTTGAATGGAAAGGAGTGAAGTTACAATAATAAAATTCTGAACATGTCTTCCAGGCATCATTTAGATGATTTTACTCATGGAAGAATGATTGGAGAGATGGAAGAAGAGCAGAAAATAACAAATGTTGCCCATAAATTTAACATTGTGCAGAGTATTGTTTCTAGACTATGGGCAGCATTTCAAACTAATGGAATGTGCAACGTTCTAAAAATTTAGTAAAGTTGAAATTCTAAATGAAAAGTTACTATTTAAAAACATTTAGATTTTAATAGGTTTTTAAAAAAATAGTGAAATATATTGGTAAATGTGAATGATATGGAAAGCATTTATTCATTTGGTACTTGCATACTGAATTGAAGTTTTAGAAAATTGTATACATTTGTGTATAGACTAAAAAGGAAACTTTAGACTTTAACATTTCTTTATTTACAAAATGCATTTTTGTGATTTTTTAAAAATTATTTATCAATATGCAATGCAAATAATTAATAATTCTTATTTGATTTAAAACTTTTCTTAATTTATTTATGGTTACCATGCAGATGACTGCCAGTTATGGGTATCCAGATCTCTGTAGAGGTCCAGATACTATCCATAACTGCAGGTTTGAGTCCCACTCTGGTCTGATCTTTTCTTCTGGAATATTCTAAAATTTAAATTTAATTAATTAATTAAAATGTATTATTTTATATTTTCTGTTACATAAAATATTATAAATAACACTAGTTATTTTGAATTAATAAATAAAGTAAAAGCAAGCTAAAAATATTTTAAATATATGTTTATTCTATAAAGTTATATATAATATAAAGAAGAATTTTAATGTATAAGTTTATTTATTTCTATTTAATATTATTATTCCGTCTAGTTGAAGAAAGATTATTTAGATGGTGTTTGGCGACACTTTGGACGTTGTGGTGATAGGAGGTTATCGAGGAAAGGGAAAAAGAACCGGCACTTACGGTGGCTTTTTATTGGCTTGCTACGATGTTGAAAATGAAGAATTTCAGACAGTCTGTAAAGTATGTTTTGTTTTACATTTGAAAAATTATATGACTAATAGTAAAAGAATATAAAGTATTAAAATAATATATTTTTTTAAAACAGTTTTTAAAATAAATATTATTAAATTATATATATATTTTAATAACTATTTTATTGTAATAAATAATAATTAAAATATTTAATTTTTGCTTTCAGAACTTTAAATTTAATATTAAGTTATTCAATGTAAACTATTCTATTATTATTACCTAGATGATATAATTTTAGAAGTGTTTTTATAAACCATTTTAGCACTACTAAACCTTAGTAAACCAGCAATGGCAAGCTCATGATGCACATAATGATTTCAGGGTATTAGAATTAAATGTTTAGAAAGTATTAGGTTTCTTTAAATTATAAAAAAAAATATAGATTTCAAAACTTTGCATGTGTAGAGTGAAATTGGGATCCTGAAGTTGTCATAAAGACCACAGATTATGAACCTCAGAAAAATTATCATCAAATAAACAACAGATTTCTTAGTAAATGAAATATTTATTTTTACTATAATCATTTTTTTTCTAATTGTATAATTTATTGCTATTTTTCTGATGTAGATTAAAAAGTTACATAAATAAAATTTGTAAACCCTTTATATTTTTTTTTACTTACTTAAATTAAATATTTGGCCTGCAGTTTGGAGTTAATTAAATTTCAAATTCAGTTTTGATTTGCCTTTGGGAAAAGGTTTGCCATTGCTGCACTAAGCCATTTGTGTTGGCTGCCCAAAAACTGGTGATTGATCAGGTTGACTCCATTTTGAGAGAACGGAGCCCAAGGAGCGCCAAATACTGACTTTCATTTAGTGTTGTTAGTGCACATTAATGTGCTCCAACCTGAATGAAATTATAATTTATTATTAGACCATTAGTTGTTTCAGATTAAACCAGAATATATGCCTAAATATTTTAGAAAATTATGTTATCTATATGATTGTACAGAAATCATATGGCCAGTTAGTTGGTTGGAATTTTTTGGCACAAGAGCCATATAGGCTACCATATGGCACTACTTTGAGGATTGTTGTCATTTTTATCAATACAACAATTGTATACATAATATTGCTTTATGGTGATTGACTTGAGAGAGTGTATTAAAATGGTCAGTACAGATTTAAATATATGATGATTTATTATTTTTATAATTCAAAATTTATACTAAAATGCTTTTTTGAGTGTTGAAAATATGGTAACTTTAGTAGCAAATATAGATATACTTTCTAGTCTCTTCTGGATTTGTATAAGAAGAATTTTACTCCAGTGAAACCAATGTTGACATTGATGTATTTTTAAATGTTTATATTAGTTTGAGAAATAAATACAAACTGTAACTTATAAAACATTATTTTTTCTTGCATTGACATAAATTAGTCATGTTTCATTATCTTCCCATGGACAGTTTTGAGTATGATTATATTTAAGAGAAATATATGATATATAAAAGTAAAATGTAAATGACAATTTAAAACTTATTTTAATTGTTGCTGTTTTGAAAACTATAAAATGTAAATTGAAAAGTCAGAAAAACTAATTTGTTCTAACAGCAACCAAATATAAAGAACCTTAAAATAAGAAAATATTAATGATGCGATGAATATTCGGTTACTATTCGGTACTTGGCCTATGTTTCACTATTCAGCTGAATACTGAATATGTAATCACTATTCAGCACTATATACCTAAAAACAGGAGTAAGAAATAACAAAAACACATTAAATTAATCATTTTGGTAACTTTTATTAATGCTGAACATACATTTTAAGTTTGAGAAAGTGCAATTTTTTGCTATTTATGTAAAAGGTCAAAGGATGCTAAATGACTTTCATTACAAGCATTTAGCTTTCTGAAGTCTACGAGAACAATTATTTGGCATTGACGACCGCAAATTTTGTGCCAATAAGCTGCCTTGATTTGTTCGATTATGTTATCAATTCAATTTCATATTTATTTGCACATTTTCAGTTCACGGTCTTTCTCTGTTCTTTTTCTGTTATTTACATGTGTAGATCATTTCATTGTTATCCACATTTGATATCATCACTTAATACATACTGCCATGACACTCATGTCTGTCTGCTACAACTGTCAAGAATTAACGCGATTGGCAAAGTATTGTGACAGCGGGCCAATAGAGAGCAGGGTGCGCAATCCTTGCCATAATGCAGTTTGTGCGCCAATTTTCATACGTGCATTAATCAAGCTGAATAGTTTGGCCGAATATTCGGCTATTCGGCCGTGCTCCTGGCTGAATATTCGGGCTGAGGCTGAATATACTATTCATTGCATCATTAGAAAATATATTTACTTCCTTCAGAAATGAGTGGCAATAATGCTTACAAATGATTGTAATCTTGATGCTCTATCACTTTCAAATGAAAAATATTATTATATATATTCAATGTTGTGTGTGAACATGAAACAGCAGACCTAAATTATAAATAAAATCTATTTCTTAATTTGCAATAGAGTAACTAATATGCACTTAATTCAGGAACAATAAAGATCTGTTATTAATTAATATACAATAATATCTATATATAAAGATTTAAAATTTGTAATAGATTTTTTAAAATAATTCTTTTAATTCAACATTATTTGGTAAGTCATTCTGTAGTTTTAAATTTCAACTGATTTAAATACTTTTAAAGTAGTAGTAGTACAGTATAGTAGTATATAGTAGTATGTAGTAGTATAGTAGTAGATATACCTCAACTTACAGCAGGATCTGTTCTAACAGCCTGGGTGTAAGTCTGACATGGTATATACAAATAAAAACACAGTGCCAGATGGCAAAAGAGAGGTGATGTGATTATTACAAAAGAATCATACTTCAAGATGTGGTAAGATATTCAGTGTAGTAGTAATGACAAAAACGTGTTTAATAAAGCCATTTATTATATATTTTGCTATTATGACATGTATTACAGAAAATGTAAGGTTATGTGTGCAGTTACAAAACTAGCAGCATAGTTGCTTTGTTTTGTTTTCACCATATGTGTCTTATGTGCAACAGTACATGAGGATGTGCTTATGCTTTACGGGACAACCATTTTAAGTTGAGGCAGTTCGGCCCAATGAAGTATGCACCTGTTTATTATTGATAAGTGCCACCGTAACTTATCACTTACATTTTTAGGACAAGCCACCTGTTATCAAAGAGTTTTGAGATAGACCCTTCTGATCCGTGACAAAATCAGGATTAGGCAGTTGGTCAGGAGGGGCAATTAAGTGGTGTCACGTGACTGTTTTAATTGACAAAACTAATCAATGATAACTTATTTATCCCTGCTTATAAAGCATGAGATTTTTTAAGTTGTGAAGTTACGGTAATCATTTATAAAAAAATTATGATTATATCTTTTATTTCAATCAGTTTTCTCCCTTTCAAAACTGGAGAAAATTTATTTCCTTTTTCGGATCAAATTACAACAACATAAATATTTATGTTGTTGTAATTTGATCCGAAAAAGGAAATAAATATACCTATCAGCTTTCACTTAGCTCAAGTTTCACAGACCAATAATTGAAGAAGTGGGTGTTTTCTTTCACGGTCAGTGTAGAGTTTATTATTTTAGCAGCCATCCATTCCACTGCTATTATAAACAAGCTGTTAATCATAAAAGCTTCGGTTTCTGTTCTAATGTCGTCGGTGCTATCTAGCCCTTTAAATGTTTTCCCTTCTTCTCTATGTTCAACCACTAATTTTCCAATATCTTTTAATATTGCATGAGACATCTTCATAATTTCTGCTAATAAATCTATATTGTTCTCTGAACGCTCTTTATTGTCCATTTTGTTGTCTGCTTTTTCTTTTTCTTTTTTCCTGTTAAGTGTCGCCTCTCATTTCCCTGTAAACCAATTAAGTCTTGCAAGAAAGTCTAAGTTCTCTAATAAATTTATTAGAGAACAATTTGAGCCTCAGATCTTTGATTTGAAAGTCAAAAGTCGAAGTTCACTAATAAATTTGACTTTCAAATCAAAGATTTGAGGCTCAAATTGTTGGACCACTTATGGCACCAATGACTTTCTTATTGGAAGTAAATCTTATCATCTACAGGTCTTTTCTCAATGGTGCAAAATAATGATAATCTATGATGATGAGATCTTGTTATTTGCTAGATTTACTTCCAATTAGTTGGTCATTGATGCCATAGAGATCTGATTCATGGAACAACCTCAGGAGTTTATTTTGTGGGGGGTTACAGAAATTGAAGGAATGTTGTAGCAAGTGTGTACAGTTGATGACTATGTTGAATAAAAGTGATTTGGTTTACAGATTTGTCTTTTGTTTTCTAGGAAAAGTTGCAAACTTTTCCTAGAAAACAAAAGACAAATTGTATGTATATGGACAGATTGATAGCAAACCTCTTGTATGAATATGGATTAATTGATATTTGAATTTGGATGAAATAAATTAGTGTTCTTGCATTTTAGGTGAATCCTTTTATGATTTGATGTTTTCATATGCATTTATAAAAAAATTAATTGATTATTGAAATACTTAATTAAACACTCTAGTAGCCAATCATAATCCTGCACATTTCAGCAATTTTTACTTTCCTGGTTCTGTTATATATAACAAAGGGAAAGTATGGTAATCAGTCAAAAAATAACCCACCGAGATTTTTATATTTTTGGACTCAGGACCTTGGAACATTGAGACATTCAAAAAAAAAGAAAAAAAATTTGTAATTTTTTTTCCTTTATGTACGGATGATAGTTTGTGTGGAGGACATGACTTTGTTCACCCCTCTTTGAAGTTTAATCTTTTGTCAAAAATTTCTGAAGTTTTGCAGGCAGGTTTGTGTACTAGGGGATTTATGCTATTAAATTTTAGTGGGTTAAAGATCAACATGGTGGGGAGATAAAGGAAGTCATGTGTCATATTTCAAGTAGGGTCAGACTTAATGGTGAGTTTATTCGTTATTAGCATTTACAATATTTTATAAAATCTATCCCTGCCCTCAAAATTAAATATT